TGGAGAAGTGATGAGGAGGAGTGAAAACAGTGATGAGAGGTGAAAGGGCGAGGGCGAGTGGCGAGCGGGACGAAGAATGAGGAGGAGCGAGGAGGAGTATGTAGCAAGAGGAGGGAAGTGGCGGAGGAAGAGGAGGAGAGGAGGAGGAACACGAGAAGCGCGTAGGAGCTCAGCCGGGAGGGATTCGTAGGAGGAGTGCGTAAGAATGCGTAGGAGGGCTCACCGCTGGATAAGAGATCATAGGTCTCATCTTGGCTTGACCAGCCCATGGCCCATCCCTGGTGGAGCCTATCCCTGGTGGGCCCGTCCGTGCACACACCGCGTTACATCGTGATTCCCTCGTTCCTCCCCCCGAACCTCTCCGATGTCTCGCCGCCCCTACCCCGTGCCAGAGCCCTCTCGTCACACATTGATCCGAGCTTGTCCCCACGGGTCTAGCACCCACCCAAACAGAGCCCTCCACCATATCTTATGCCTCTTCCGTGCAGACCCCCCGCGTAAATCGCCTCTTTGAAACCCACGCTCCTCATATTCTTCCTTCTCCCCCTAGCACCGCCAAGTTTCGATCATGTATCCCCGCACCTAGTCCTTCTTCAGAGCCTCCCTCTCCTAGCTGCCTCCTCCCCTCCAAGCCTCCCCCTGCCCTGCCATTCCTGCGATACTTCTTGCAAGCCTCAGTATCGCCCCCGTCTGTTTCGGCCTCCCTCAAATTCTTCTTCCAAACCTCCTCCCTCTGATCTTCAAACCCCACGTCGAACCATCAATGCGTCAATATTACTCCTGAGCCCTCGTGCTCTCACCGTGATTCCGTCCTCCTCCTCCTCTTTTTCCTCCTCCTCCTCCTCTTCCTCCTCCTCCTCCTCCTATTCCTCCTCCTCCTGCTCTACCAGCTTGGCAGACTCCCCCCCGTTCCGCCCGCCCCCATCTTCAGCCCCATCGGCAATGTCGAACATGGTCGTTTCGATATACTTACGGTTTGGTTATGATTTGGTTACGATTTGGTTACGATGTGGTTATGATTTGGTTACGACTTATGCGATTTGGTTATGATTTGGTTACGAAAATTGAAAACATGGTTACGATTTGGTTATGCGAACATCTTCCCGGGAAGATTTTGGTTACGGGGTGTTGAATGCATGTTGATGGCTCAAGTGTGTGAGGGGTTGATCGTAACCAAATTCTTCGCGTTTTGGTTACGCACAACAGTTTCGAGCGTAACCAAATGATTTGGTTACGTACACTAGGGTCGGGGGTCACAGCTAACCGCCGCGCATCACAATTTGATGGTAGGTGTGCCCCCTGACCCCAGCGCTCTCCTATGATGGCCCTCCAGGGTCGCAGCAAGCCGCGGCCGATGTGAAACTGCAGCGTGACCAGATAGGTGGGGGAGGGCATCGGGGGTCGCAGCTAATCGCTGCATGGGACAGAACATGGAAGAGCAACGAAGGTGCCACTTTCCGCCTCCGCCACGCGCGCTGCGACGCCCGCCTGGCCCCCAAGGAGGGAGGCGGGGGGAAGCCGCCCCCCCCATCGGTAGGCACCCCACCCGTGGGAAAGGTGGCGCACCCGTCGAGCGGGAACACTGCTTGCTGCCATTGTCAGTCCTCCACGCGCGCTCAGATCCCTCTGCTGTGAAAAACCACGTCGGGCCCCAATGCCGCAGGCCGCGTTTTGCTGGGCAGCAGCGGGCCTGCTGCCAGTGACCACCCTCCTCGCACCTGATCCCCGCGCGTGCGATGCCACGAGGTGGGGCAGCAACGGCTACTGTGGGGAGACGGCCCGCCACTGTTTTGTTTGCCCTTCCTGGGTGCCTGGGCGTTCGGGTGGCCCTCTGCCGCGTGGTGACCCCTGCTCGCTCCGCCGCTTCGACCCGGGTGCAGATGCCACAGCCGAGTCCAGTCGACGTCGAGGCCCAGCGCGTCGCTGACGACCCGTACGTCGCACTTGTGGCTGCGGAAGGATTCCAGGAAGGTGGCAGGTTTGCGGGTCGCGCCGAAGCGGGTCGAGCGCGCCTTTGCTGCCAGGCACGGTCTGCCGCTTGGCGAAGGCGTGCCAGGTGCCTGTGAACATTGTTCCCAGGGTGACTTGGAGCCGCCCTATCGCCTCGCCCGGTGTCTCCCCGGGAAGGTCCCACTGGATGTCGTCGATTTCTGTTTTGTACAACTGCTGTCCCGTGTCGGGGTCCGCGGGCTCTGGCCATTGGCGCGGGTCAGGCCATTGGTGCTGCCGTGTATTCTGGCCGCAAGTCTCCGGCGCACCGGCCTCGCTGTCCCGGCCGGAGGATTCGCGATCTGCTCGCGACAGTTCCGGCTGCACGCCTGGCGGGGCTCTGCGGGGAGAGGCGGGCCGCATAGTTGGCCGCCAGGCGGGGGTCGGATCGCGCCCGGCAGCCAGGGCGGACGCTGCCCTGTGGCGTGCGGGGAGAGGCCCCTTTCGCTGGCGTTCGCCTTCGGGCCTGCGCCCGCCGTCGCTCCTGGGCGCGCCCCCTTCGGTCAACGCAGGACTCTCGCCGGTCTCGGGGGCGCGGCTGGTCGTGCCAGGCGCGCGCGCGTGCGGCGACGCTGTTTCCGTTGCCAGAGCACAGGATTATTTGTTAGTCGTGCCCTGGACGTCTGGAGGGAGCGCTCGGGGTTCGCCGCCCATTAGAGTGGGTTCGCTGGCAGGGGAAGGGGGGCGAATAGGCGCGAAGGGGTTTCTCCCGACGAGCCAGTGGATGGCCACGCGCTGTCCTGCGTCTAGACGGTTAGTCCGCGGCCCCCCTGCTGGGTCTCTGGCGCCCCCAGAGGACCGCTGGCGGCCTGATTGTTCTGAGGGGGGGGCGGGGGCGGCGCGGCGTGGCAGGCGAGCCCCTGCTGTTCTGGGATCTCGCTTAGCTGACTGTTGCGGCTGCCGTCAGCACTTTCGGGGGCCAACCCCTGCCCGCCCGGTTCAAATCCAGAGACACGGATGACGGCTTGTGCCTCTTCCGCACCTTTCAGAAGCTTCCGCAGGTTCGGGCCCCCGATACTCCGCGGCCTCCGCAGCCTCCGCCGACTCCGCCGCGGCCTCCCTCTCCTTTTTTTCTGCCCTGCTGCTGCTGCTGCTGAGGGAGCAAGGGTACCTCTGAGTCTTCTCGTGGGTTCTGCTGGCTCCCAGAAGTGCCCTGGAGGCTGTCAGGGAGTAGGGGTACCTCCTTCTGGTAGTCAGAGAGGGTTCTTTGAAGTCTCGCGGGTCTCTCGTCCCCGGGGTGGGTCTGCTGCTGTTGGGGCGGCTGTTGCTGCTGCTGCAGCACCTGCTGCTGGTGGTGCGGCTGTGGTTGTGGGTGCTGCGGCGGTTGCTGTGGCTGCTGAGGGGGGTGTTGTTGCTGCTGCAGCTGCGGGGTGCTGTTGCTGCTGCTGCTGCTGCTGCTGCTGCTGCTGCTGCTGCTGCTGCTGCTGCTGCTGCTGCTGCTGCTGCTACTGTCGCTGCTGCTGCTCTACACGCTTTGGGGGGTATGCGGCTGCTGCTGCCGCGGCTGCTGCAGTTGCTGCTGCTGCTGCCGCTGCTGCTGCTGCTGCTGCTGCCGCTGCTGCTGTTGCTGCTGATGCCGCTGCTGCTGCCGCTGCCGCGGGGGGCCGCCGAGGGCGGCCGCGGCGACCGCCGCCGCCGCGGCGCTGGCGGCGGCCGCGGCGGCCGCGGCGGCGCCGCCGCGGCGGGCCCGTGCGCGGCCGCGCGGGCCACGGCGGCGGCGGCACCGGGCGCGCAGCCCGCGGCCGCGGCGGCGGCGCCTCCGCCACGGCGGCGGCGGCGGCGGCGGCGGCCGCGGGCGGCGGCGCGCCGCGCGCCGCTGGCCGGGGCTGGCCGTGGGGCTGGCTGTGGGGCTTGGGGGGCTGGTCGTGGCGGCCGGCCGGCGGGAGGCCGGCAGCGGCGGCGGCAGCGGCAGCAGCAGCGGCCGCGGCGAAGGCAGCCGCGGCGCCGCCGGCCGCCGCCGCCGCCGGGAGGAAGCTGGTGGCGGCGGCAGCGGAGGCGGCGGCGGCCGCGGCAGCGGCGGCTGTGGCGGCAGTGGCGCTGCCGGCCGCCTCCAGCCGCCCAAGCGCCAGCCCCCAGGGGGAAGGCAGCGGCAGCGGCGGCGAGGCTCGCCGCCGGCCGCCGCCGCCACCGCCGTTCGCCGCCGCCTCCCGCGCGCCGGCCTCCTGGGTGGAGGCGGAGGCGGCAGCAGCGGCGGGAGCAGCCGCGGCCGCGGCAGGCGGCACCCCGGCGCGAGCGGCGGCGGCCAGGCGCTGCCGCCGCCGCAGGGCGGCGCCCGAGGGGGGCGAGGCCATCGCGTGGCCGGCCCGGCGCGAACCTGTCCAGGGGCGGGCTTGAGCCCGGGGGGGCTTGAGCCAAGGGGGGCTATAGTTATACGGAACTGGTGGGGAGACGCGAAGCGTGAATAATTCCTGACCGCACGTCCCCCCCCAGCGTTTCGGGTGTTGCCAGAAGTGCCCATGGCCCAAGGTGCCCCCCAGATTTCCACGGAGGCCTCCCAGACCACCAGAGCACCCATCACGATGCACAAATGGCCCTGGAGGCTCCAGAATAGAGCGAAAAGCTGGGGGCATCTTGGCCCAATGGCACCTGTAGCAACCCCCGAAGCGTTGCCCCTGACCTGTGCTCAAGGCCTCCTCGGTCCTCGGTCCTCCCTACTCCTCCTCCCCCATCCTCGATTTACAGCTAATGGCGACCCCCCCTAGTGGTGACCTCCGCTTCCCTGACTTCGGATCCAGCGCGCTTCGGGCGATTTCGGAAGCAGGGCGGAAATTCCCGCCCTGCCTTTTCACGATTCTTTGATGCCGACTTCCGCCCTCATTCCTCCATATTTCTGAGGCGGACACCTCCGCCGCCGTACAGCTTCGCCTCGTCTGGGGTTCATTTTCCACACAATGTCAAGTCGGATAGTCAACCAAAGTGCGGCGGATCCGACGCCAAGGCTGGCACTGCTCGAGGGAGGAGGCCTCTCCGTGCCGCGGGCGGCCATGGGGGAGGGTGGAACGCGTGGCGTCCTCGAGGCCGTTCAGCACCTTGCCGTGCAGGTCGGCCATGGCGGACTGGGCGTTGTGGAACTCCTGGGCCCGGGCCCGCACCGCCCATAGCACGTGTCGAGCGGAAGGATCGAAGAGCCAGAGCAACCACACGAACTTGACCTTTCTTGGATCGGCGCTGGGCCCCCCTAGCGGCAGCTCTGGAGGGGGGTCCAGCGCCGATCCAAGAAATCCGCACGGACCTCCGCAAGCTTGTATAAATGTAGTTTTTGTTTTTTCGAAGGGAGCAGCAACCCCAAAGCTCTGGACCAGTTCCCGAGGACTGGTTGTTCGTCCCGATTCGTGAGCTGACGGCCCCGAGGTCCGGCGAGGGCCCCGCGAAGCTGAAAATCACCAACAACCGTCCATCACGACGCGAAGAAGTCTGGGGAGGGGGAAGTTGCGGCATGTACTCAGGTCCGCCGACACCATAGGGTCTACGGAGTGTGAGACTGTTTTGGAAGGCCCCCAAACCAGTTGGTGAGATATCAAATGGTGACCTGGAATCCCCCCAAAAATCACCGCTGGGTTTTGGAACACGGGGTCACCGCCGGGTTCTGTGACTCCAACCTTCGGGACATCCTTCAAAAACCACATGAGTCCCCAAACCGGGTGGTGACACCAAATCGCCCGAGACTCACCGCCGGGTGTTGTCACCACCACGTTTGGGGACTACCAGCTGTTGCCCCTCCCCAAATCCCTCCCCCGGGAACTCCGTCCGGTCCGTTTGAAAGGGGAGGGGCGGGGGGGTTATTAAAAGTGTCGGCGGCCCAGACCGCCGCAGAGATGCTCCTCTGGACAGCCGCCGACGGCTTCGGAATGCCCTCTTGAAGGGTTCCCAGACGCCCCCGGACGGCACCCAGTCGCCTTGAGGTGGCTTCAAAACAGGCTACGAAGCTTCCAAGACGCCACCCGAGGGCTCCACGAACGCCTCCGCAAGAGGGCCCCGACAAGCGCAACATGTTTCCCATTCAATCGGGGAAACGGGGACACTGACGTTTTCTGCAGACTGCCTCAGAGGCCCGGAAGATCGACCCGATACGGGTAGAGAGGCTTCAAAGAGGGCCCCAAGACGGCCCCAGACCGCCCAGGAACGGCCCAAGAGACGCCCAAGGCAGCTCAAGAAGACCCAAGAGGGACGCAAGACAGCACAATATGGCCCCAAGACGGCCCAAGAAGGGCCCCAGACAGCCCAATACGGCCTCAATACAACCCAAAAGGCGCCTCAGACGGCCCAGGAGGGCCCTAAGAGGCACCCAAGGGGTCCCAACGAGCCCCCTGGAGGCTTCCGAACGACCCCCATGCGGCGTCAAACCGCCTCCATGGGAGAGGGCCGGTCGAGAGGCGAGGAGGCCCTTCGCAATAGCAAAACAGAGTTCTTCACGCTCTCGGGGGCTGGAATGCCTGTTCTCTAAGTGGCGTTGCCGTAGGATCGACGATTGACGGTCGAAGATCGACGGCAGCACGGGTCGAGGAAAGGAGCAGGAGGGGGCGGAGGGGGAAGAGAGGAAGGAGGAGAGACATCGAGGATCCGACGAAAGATGAGAGGCCCAACGCAGGCGCAAAGACTATAGTTCTTGACGTTCTGGGAACTCTGGACACCTGTCTTCTGGGCGGCGTTCACGTATACGGATGGACGATTGCGATCGAAGATGGACGAGGCGGGAAAATAACAACTAATCATCGAACAACAATCGGGGCTTGCAGCGGGAAGCAACGGAAAGAAGGAGAGCATGAAAATAGGACTGGAAAGATGTGAAAGAACATACTAATACCAACACGTCAATCGACTTCCTGTAATCAACGGTGATATCGGTACCCACGGGCCCTAAGGGGTCGGCGGTGTCGCGTAAGCCAGTGAATCATCTAGAGGCTTCCCAAATGGGGACCGAGTAGGTGGGATCGGGGGATCGCGCCCCATCGGCGGCGACGTCGGCAATGCATCGGCGACTTGCGCACCCGCATCGAGCCGCATCGCCGATGCATCGGCTATGCGGCTCCATCCTTCGACCCCATCGACTCGGAGGCCTAGAGCATCGCCCCCTTCACATGCCAGCTTCTTGTTTTCCCACCAGAACCCGGCGCTATCTATGACCACGTCGCTTGCGCGAAGCGTTATGATGAAGGGCAGGAGGTCCTCCGCTCCTGGGGGTCTCGCCCATCCTTGCTAGCCCACCTGCGCCTGGCTCGACGGGCGCCTGCGTCGGCCCCTCCCGCTCGCAACTGGCGAGACTTCACCGATGGGAGAATCGTTGCACGGCTCCGCCTGTGAAGGGCAGGCGCACGGCGAGCCGCACGGCCCCTGCAAGCTCCAAGGCCTGCGCCCCACTGAGCACCGTCTCTGCTCTCAGAACCTGCTGCGGGTGTGGTACCCGTGATGAATCGCAGTTCAGAATGCAGGGCCCCTGAGCGGACTGAGTGGATGCTCGGGCTTCGGGCTATGACGGAGGAGGATGAGGAGGAGGACCAATGCAAGCCCAAGAAGCATCAACGATGTTGCAATACACCCTCCCTCCAAACTCCCTCTTCATAGGCTCCGATACAAACGTATTTCAACTGCGGGTATTTGAAAAACTGCAACCGTGCCAAAGACCTAGGACTTCAACGCCGCGAATGAACGTTACTGTGGCGACCTGACGATCCGAAATCGTGCCAGGGCACCATCGCTGAAACGTCAACGCCGCGACTCAACGTTACTGTCGCACCCTGGCATTATCAAACCGTGCCACAAAACCATTTCTGGGACGTCAACAACAAGAATCCGTGAATGCGATGTGAAGAATTAAGATGGATATGCGCGGCGCTAGTGCGAAGACCACATGTTGAAAACCAACCGCCCTTCATCCATGCAATTCTGGCAAATAAAAAACACACACGAATGAATGTGCGCGGCGCGAAGGCGATCGTCACATTTTGAAAAGAGATCACCCCCTTCCGTTGAATTCTTCAAAACCAAAATATTAAAGAAAAAACACATGCGCGGCACTGATGCGACTGTTCGTCATTGCAAGCGTCAAAATCATGAATGGTGAAGATTTCTCCGGCGAAGCGCCCGACCCGGCCTGCCGACCCGTCTCGGGGTGCGAGCATAGGGCAGGGAGGGGAGGGAGCGAAAGGGGGGATATTCTTGTTGGTTTTTTGGTGAGATATCTATCTTTAGATATCGTATGCATAATTTAAGTTTACAGAAACTACACAGATTCTGGCAACCAGCTGTCAGAATAGCGGGTCTCCGATTTCGGTAACGCTTGGGCGGGGTCGGAGCGAGGGTGCGCTGCTATCGCCATGGCATGCGCGCGAGCACAGCACATGGGGGGGGTCCAAGCCCCTCCCTACGTAAGTACGATCGTCACGGTTACCTGGGGATGTGGGAGTAGCCCGGGTAATCGTTACGCGCTTGAGGATTAAACACAACAATTTTCTAGAAGAAGCAGGCAGAGCAAGCAAGTGGAAGCGAGAGACTGGACGCCTAGAAGAGAGGGATCATACTATTAGATCCGAACTCCCCGAAGACAAGAGGAGGAGGCAGCGCGGAGGTGGTGGTGGATTTGAAGGGAGAGAAGAAGAGCCTCCTCTGCGGACGCCGTCTCCCTTTATGCAACACTTCCCCCTGTCGCTCCTCACCGCTAAGGGGGGACGGCAGAGGAGGACCCGCTCGGGGGGAAACATCGAGCTGGAATCGGTGATAAGTCGCCCGTGCATCGGCAACAGGCATTAGGCCCCCGATAGCGAGCTCGCACGCTCCTGGGCGGGGTGGGCTATCGGGCCCCTATCGGCGATGACTGAGTGATTGGGGGTCGATGCGTCCCCCCCTATGAGCCTATCCCCCGCCCCCTGGATTTGCCCCTGATCGTCCCGCTTTCCCCTGTCGCCCTTCCCATCTCCCCCTCCCCTTCCGGCCCCGCCCCCCCGTGCCTTGCCCCTCTCGCTCGAGTCTGAGAGGCCTCCCCAACCCCCTGCGCCTGGAACGTGATCAGCGCCGACGTGCCCGCCTCGTCCACGGCGATCTTCGCGACGGCACCGTACCGGCTGAAGACCTGCGGCGGCCGCTGGCGCACGGAAGGCGCCGCCCCGACATCGCCACTGCCGGTGGTCGCCTCCTCATCCCACGCCACGGGCCTCCCCAGGCTTCCGACGATGTGATGTTCGCTTGTTTTTGTCAACCCCGGCGGCTCTCCTAGATTTCGGAGGCCTCGAGAGCGCCTCCCTACGCCGACCCCTCAGGCCTCAACTTCGCTCAGCACCTGTCCCCAGACCCCTCCCGCCCGGGGTCCATGGTGCCACCCTGCACCCCGAATCCGTTTCTGACGGTCCCGCGGCCCGGAAAGGGCCCCCCGGAGACCGACAAAGGCAAACAGCATCCACGAGCCCAAAACCTCGAGTCTGGCCCTCCTCTCCCTTCATGCTGGTCGGAGTCACTGATGGGCCCCTCGGCCCCGTCAGCGGTCCTGGAGAGGCTCCAGGGCGCGGGGGGGGGCGGCCAGGGCAGAGGGGGAAACGCGGGCAGTGGGAGCCAGGGGTGCGAGAGCGGGCACCTTCTGGAGGTCGTCCTCGGTGAGCTGGTACTGGTACTTCATGCCCTCTACCTTGGTGCTGCGCTGATCAGAAGAGCCTCCTCTTCTTCCTCCTCCTCCTCCTCCTCCTCCTCCCTCCCTCCCCCACCCCTCCCCATCCCCGGGAACGACCACCACCGAGAGCCCACCCATCTGAGGGGGGGGGGGAGGGCGACCCTTGGGCGGTGGCACGCCCGAGCGTCACGCAGTGCAGGACGACGCTCGGGCGCGCCACCGCCGAGGGAACGGCCAACCACGATAGGTTCCCGATGGCGGTGCTCCCTGTCTCCCTGAGCTAAGATCACACGCAGTGGAAGGTTTGCTCGACGCGATCAAGGCCGCAGCAAGTTCGCAAGGAGGAGGGAGGATGAGACGGCGGGATGAGTACCCACGCAGCGCCCGCGCAAGGCGATGGGGAAGTGCACAGTCGAAGTCTCAGGGGGCCTCAGATCAGGAACGACGCAACGTTTTCTGTCCCACTACTGGCTGCGAAGCAGTGTTGTCGTCGTTGACGGCGATTGGGGTTCCAAGCTCAAGATCTTCGGCATACCTGTCTGGGACGGTCTGGGGAGCCTGGCGGGGAGTTGCACTATTTCTCCTGGTGGGCATTCCAGCCAGGACTACCGAGAAACATGACAAGGATCCAAAGAGAGTATCGCAAGAGCCTCGGGAAGTATCGAAGGAGCCTCGGGTCCCTTCCGTACCAGGTGGCGTTCCCTCTCTCAGTGTGCCGACTGTGCTGCGAGGGCCAGACAGCACGCTGCATTCAACAGCGCCTAGAAGGGGAGCGAGGGGGCTCGAGAGCCACTGGACCGACAACGTGAATGACATTCCACGAGCTGGTGCGGGACAGAGCCTCGATGTATTGTTGATAAATCAAATGGCCTTTCGTTTCCGTGGTGTCTATCTGATTCTCTCCGCCTCCGCCTCATCATCCTTATCATCCTCTGCTCGACGCCTTGCACTTGCATGCGGCTGTTGGGCGGTATTCGCTGTCCCTCTCGTTGTTTCTCGCCACGCTGTGCGGCCAGCATGCCGAGGAATTCCAGCTAGTGCTCTGCAACATACGCAACTGCTACGTTCGAAGAGTGGAACACAATGTCAAACGAAATCGCCGATTGCAATTTCAACGGCCAAACGCGCGACCAACATAATCACGAGGACCGACTTTCCGGGCACTGTGGCAATGTTTTGTTTTGATGCTTCTCTCTCTCTCTCTCTTTCTATGGTTCCCCCTCTCTCGCTCTCTCTCGCTCTCTCCGAAACTAGTGCTGGCTCGCAATGGGCATCGTCCGCGCGCCCGCTCTCTCTCTCTCTCTGTCTGTCTTTTTCTCCCTCCCCCCGCTTTCCCTCTCTCTCTCTGTGTTGTTTTGTGTGTGTGTGGTCTCTCTCTCTCTCTCTCACCCTCTCTCTCTCTCTCTCTCTTTATTTCTTTTGTGTTGTTCTCTCTCTCTCTCTCATTCTCTCATTTTTTCTCTCTCCCTCTCTCTCTCTCTCCATCTCTGTTTTACTATATATATATGTGCGATTTCTCACAGCAGGCGGTGCGTGGACGTCTGCTTGGAAAAATCCCTGTACACGTCGGGGTCGCCCCTTGTTCCTCCTTCTTCAGCATGTGAAACGGCAAGCAAAATGCATCTCCCCACCCAGGGGGAAGGGGCGTCTTCAAAGGGAGGGGAGAGGGGGGGCTTAACCCCCCCCCCCCCGCGCACCCTTCAACTCAATGGAATCTCATTCGTGTTCGACCAAAGCCGACGGAATCCTACTGTAGTTGGCTCTAACTTTGCCCACATATCCCCCAGTTTGCCCATGCGGCTGCGGCGTCGTCTTTTTTGTTTTCCTTGATGCGTGTACTCTTCTGTTTTATGATGTTCTGTTGTGCTTTACTGTTTGAGCGTTCCCCTGTGCTCCTTATTCTTTCTCGCTCTACCTCCTTCGATATCCTCCCCCTGGGGCCCATGGGAGGAGGCCAGGAAACCAAGAAACCAAGAAAACCCGGCCAGGCGTTGTTTCTTATGATTTTGCTTCTGGTCGGGGGGCTCAGAAAAGCTGGCCAGGCGTTGGCTTTTCTGTATTTCTGGTCTGGGAGTTCACAGAACCAAGCCAGGCGTTGTTTTTTTTTTTTTGTCTGGGAGCCCCCGAAGCCTAGACTGGAGGTTGGGGGCTTGCGAACTACTGCCCTCGGACCAACATAAAACAAGTAAACCAACGCCCAGCCAGGTTTTGTGAGCCCCCAGACCAGAACAACCAGAAAAAGCCAACGCCTGGCCACGTGTTGTGGGCCCCCGACAAAGAAAACATAAAAAACAACGCCTTGCCAGGTTTTCTGAGCTTCCAGACTAGAAAAAGAAAGAAAAAAACATAAAAGCCAACGCCTGGCGAGGTTTTCTGAATTCCTTGACCAGAAAATAATAACAGCAACGCCTAACCAGGTTTTCTCAGCTCCCAGACAAGAAAAACTCAGAACAACCAGCGCCTGGCCAGGTTATCGGGAGCTCGCAGGCGCAATTTTTCCTGCGTCGGAAGCGCAATGTTTCCTCTGCGTCAGAAACGCAATGTTTCCTCCTCGTCAAAAACGCAAAGCTTCATGTTCGGTGGAACGCAATGTTCTGCATTCATCGAAACGCAATGCTTTGTCGTCGCCGGAAGCGCAATGTTTCCTCCTCGTCGGAAGCGCAATGTTCCCTCTCTATCGGAAGCACAATGTTTCCTCCTCGTCGGAACGCAATGCTCTGGACCCGTCGAAGCATAAGGCTTCGTGCTTGTCGGAAGCGCAAAGTGTCCTCCTCGTCGGAAGCGCAATGCTTCCTCTCTGTCGGGGGCGCAGTGTTTCCTCCTCGCCGGAAGCGCAATGTTTCCTCTCTGTATGAAGCGCAATGTTTCCTCCTCGTCAGAAGCGCAATGCTTACTCGCGCCCTCGCCATGCTCGCCCTGATGGGCTACGCGGCCAAGACCCAGCGCCCCGTGAAGGCGAGCACCGGCTGCGCCAACGCGGACACGACCGCCGCTTCCGACCACTACGCTGTCGCCCTCGACGGCGTCAGCGGCGCCCCGCCGCCAATGACCCCCGAAGGTCTGGCGCGGGACATGCGCGACTCCCTCCGCTACTTCCTGGCTCGCCGGTTCGCGCGCAGCACTGATCGGGGCGATTTTGACGCCGAGGCGGCCAGCTTCTTAACCCGATCCCTGTGCCCACGACGCACGCCGCGGGCTTGTGCCTCGAGAACCTGATCGTTATTGCGGGGACGTTTACCGAGTCGCTGGGAAGCACGCGCATGGCGGTCGCCACCGTCATCGGGGAAAAAAAACTAAACGCGCACCACTTGGGCGACTGCGTCGCCATGATCTTCCGCTACTCCTCGAAGCTGGGAGCGTGGCGCATTGCCTTTCGCACGGTGGACCACAGAGCGCAGATGCTTAATGCCCGCGGCAACAGCGCGATCGGGCCGCTTCAGTCCACCGCGCGCAACGACCAGCATCGCACAGTCGACGCGCTGAAGCAAGCGGCCCGCCAGGGCGCCGTGCAGCTGGTCAGAGACGCCCGCCCGGGCGACGCGCCGACTCTCTTCAGCGACGGCGTCTCCGACGACGCCGCGGAGGAAGAGCTATGCCGCATCCTGCGCAACTCCCCGCACATGGACCGCGCCTCGATCGCCCGCGACGCCCTGGCGCACCGCTGCCGCAGCGGGGCGCCGAAGCCCGACGACATCAGCATCTACGTCGGCACCGTCTTCTCGCAGTAGGCGCGCCCCGTCCGCCGCAGTCATTAAACCAAAGGGATGAAGAGGAGGGCCAGGGAGAGGATGAGGAAAAGAAGAGGGGGCGAAGAGGAGGGCGATGCCCCCCTCAGCCTGGGCAAACGAAGGGGTCTGGTCGTAACTTTGATATCATCTTAGTCGGGCTCGGTCTAACTCGAATTCGCCCTACTGTATGTGGGCCCAACTCTACTGGGATCCCATTGCAATCGTTTTTCAACGCCAGGTTGAGAGTTCACTGCCCCAGTGGAAACCCTCGGGCCACGGCCTCAACACCCCGCCGAAGTGATTCCTTCTCGGCGCGCTTGGATTATCGGCGGCCGCGCTTGTCTTGACCACGTTGAAACTATGATGCGCCCTGTCAGGCCAAGGCCTCGACATCCCCCCGAAGTGAGCCGGGGATGGGGGGGGGTAAGGCAAGGTAAGGTATGGCGCTTGGGGAGATGAATCCGATCGACCGAGAAAACCAAATGGGCTCTTCTGGCCTCCCTGCGACGGGGCAATTTGGCAGGGCACCCTTGTTGGGCCTGCGCGCGGGAGCGGGCGACGGGCTCGAGCCCGAGGGGGGGGGGGGGGGGCGGGGGGGAAGGGGGCGGGCGGTGGGGGGCGGCAGCGGGGCCCTGGCACTTGTCGAGCGAGCGCGCGCGTGGCGCGCGCCCCCCGCTCTCTCGCCCCCCGCCCGCCCCCCCCCCCCCGCCGCTCGCCTACTAGAAACTGGCTCGGTGGACGCCGCGGCCGAATCATAAGCGCTGGCATGCTCATTGGCTCGCGCTGCTCTTTCTGAGATGATCTCTGAGGGTGCCGTTTTTTTCCTCCTCTCCAATTAGTAGTAGCCCCCATCTCCCATGTGCTGCGCAGTAGAAGCGCGCATGTCCGCGTTTGCCCAAGCAGCGCACTTGCGTCGGCGTCTGCGCAGCATAGAGTGGTCAACCGGGCGCAGCGCGAACAACTGAGCTGGCGCTGCCCCTCTCGCTGCGAGCTGCGAGCCGCCGTCTCAGGTCCTGTTCGCGGTAGGCTTCGAGGGGGAATCGTCGTCGTTCTTCTCCGCGCCCCCCCCCCTTCTCGAGCTCTTTGACCCTCGCCCACAGCGCATTCGTCTGATGCGTGCCTGGGCTGCTGCTCGCGCTCGTGTCCGACGCCCCCCCCCCCCCTCCGCACATGCGCTGACGCTCCTCTGGCTCGATCCACATCGACGGGTCTCCACTCGGATCAATGTGCTTCCACGGCGGCTGGCATGGGGCCCCGCTCGCCTGAATCACCAGCGCCTCCTTCCCGTTC